CTGCAACTCCTGCTGTTCGAAAATCTCTGACTGTCTGAAACTTTAATTAATTAGTGTCTAATAAATACAAAAATTATATATATGCTTTATTACCAGATTCAGTGATCATGATGTTGTCATTATGGCGATCACCAATCCCCAGGACGTAGGTCGCTACACAGTAACCTCCACAGGAATACACAAAGCGCTCCACCGCCTGCTGATACTGGAGGGAGGGCAGTAACCTCAATGTCTTTTTATTACACACATTTGAATTATGCAAACACAAGCATGCAAACAGGGGAGGCGAACAATACACATTCAATATGACGACTGGGTAATATTTGTCATTTCCCGTCAGCAGCCGAGTTTGCTCAGACGCTCCTTCTAAAATAAAACGCTGTACTTCAAAGCCCCTGTGGAACCAGGAAGTACACCTACAGACGTTTCCTTCCCCTCTAATGCAAATGGTTATAACCTCCAACGGAAATAACATACCTTCTCCTCATTCAAACATTTGTCTCGAAGCCACTGGTTCAGGATTTCATCTTTAAAAGCCCCAGTATTCCCCACAGTGCTTTGCTGGATGTTTGCAATGGTGGTAGCATCCTTCACTATCTCAATCATCCCTATGGTCAGGAATTCATCTGGCTCGTTAATCAAAACTGACTAGGGTAAACATTCATAGGAACATTGTACAAAATAATAATTTATTAATAAAAATATGAATTTATTAATAAGAAACTTACCAATTTTATTTCCAGTGGAAATACAACCGTAAGGCAGTAAGGACAGATCTAGTGATTCAGTCTCCCATATAGACTCCATGATCAACAAAATCTGCATTTTCATAAAACAGAGATTGTTACCTGTTATAAATGAACCATTGGTATTGCTGTTGTTAAAATAATTAAAAAAAAAATTTAAATCCTACCATCATCTGTGATTTTTTTCACTCAAATTTAAAACAATACTACATTCTACTGAAATGTTTTTGAGGTTTCTGATGACAGACTGTGTATAAGCACAGAAGACTTGTTTTCATTATTTAACTGTCACCTGCAGAATTAACATGTCCTGACGAAGGTCATCTCCATCCTTGAAAATGATCCCAATGGTATCGCTCGACAAAGTGGTGGGGTCAGCTCGCTTAAACTGCAGCCACAAGGGTTTCTTTTTGGATGCCATTACTTTACATTGCTCAATCTATGAACAGAGCAGTTTCATCACCAACTGTCTAACAAGTCTAACACTACAGTTTTATATTAAACATTGTATATCTGTTTTCGATTCATGAAATGTAGCAAAACCTGTCACACAAGCACACAGGGTCACAAGAGTAACAAAGAAATGTTTCTGACACTAATACTAAAACAAAAAATCTGTTGTGCTTCTCTACCTACCACCAGTGCCCCAGCTCGCAGGCCAGGATCATATGGTACTTTAAAGCTCTCAGGCAAACCCTGCATTTGCAGACTCTCCAGTTTATGGCGCAGCTGAAAAATAACTACAGGGTACCAAAATGATTAGATTCCAAGTACTTCCGGGATCGGAGGTAATAAGAACACTTCGAGTACAAACTATCAGCATGGGCAATCACCTTGTGCTGACACATCATATTTCTCGGCAGATATGGCCTTGACCTCACGGGTGACCTTCTGTAGTGCCTCAGTAATTTCCACCTGCTTCCTGAAGTCCTGCAGCATGGCATCTCCACAGCCACGTAAGTAGGCCTCTAAAATAACTGCATACCTCTGTTGGTAGTGCATGGACTGAGCTATCTCACTCCGCAAGAACCAGAACAGGAAATGGCCAATTCGTTTGCTCTGTGAAGAAGCCCGGGAATGAGCGTTCACACCATCAAATGTAAAAACAAGGAAAACCTTATTTCTGTATAGTATCATCGTGATGTGCAGAGGGTACAGAAAGTTATAACTCACCCTGAGTGCACGCTTAAGGAGGAATCTGGCGAGTGCACTGTCATGATAGGGTTCAAACTTCACAGCCTGGGGGAGATTTATGACAAACACAAGTTAGATTTGTTAACTGAGAGAGAGAGAGAGATACAAAGAAGTAATAAACAGTTCACTGCTGAAATATAAAACAGATGAAGGACAACTATGGCAAATACGCATTCCACTCAGTATTTTTTTTTATAAATGGAGGTATCTGAATAGCCAGCTAGGGGTTTTTTGTTTATTTTTGAACTGACAGTTTAACATTTAAATATGCAAAACCTTACCTGAACCAGCTGCAAAAGGTACCGAAGGACATCGTCATCACCAAGAGTCTCCAATTTCCTGACAGCCATGGTGCGCACATTTGCATCAGAAAAGTGGCAGTCCAAAAGCTGCATAGCTAAACCCACATCTAGAGGGCTCCGGTCCCAGGTGGTGCTTCTCTCTAGAAGATGGTGTGTGGCCATGACAGCTTCCTGTTTTCCCCATTTCACAGAGCCAAGAAACTTAGGGTAGGCCGTAGGATGGCGCACACACTCCTGTCTGAAATGCCAGAGGAGTTCCTTATCTTCTGCACTGAGCGGATGCAGAGGGTCGGTAGCCACAATTTGATCAAACTGCTTCCGTAAATGGTTAGGCATCTCTCTTTTCCCCCTTTCTCCTTCCATTTCTGATGTATCTCGAGAATCCCTGCTCTTAGGCAAAGCAACTGGGTAGCAATACTTGTCCAGTAGCACTGCAATTGCCATGGAACTCGTTTTGTCTGGATTGGTGGCAGACGTGAGTTTATCTGCATTTACGCTACTGTTATCCTCACTTTTCTCAGGCATCTTCCACATGTGCAGGATGAACTCGCCCTGTCTGAGTAAAGACCTATGGTCCACCACTAACAGGTTCACGTAGTAGAGCAGGCGGCTCTTGTTCTTGCAGTCATGTGAAATGGTGTCTTTTGAGGTCTGTGTTTGTGCTTTACCACATGACACCTGCAGATTTAGACGGGCGCCTTTGGGTAAATCTTTGATCTTAATGTTGAAATCAAGCCAGGTATTCCACAGCACCTCTTCAGTGAAAGGCTTTGAGGATGTCCTCTCCTGAGCTAGCAGCTGCTGCCCATGGAAAATACTGGCCTCCACAAAGACTATCAGTTCTGAATTACGAGGCAGGACTGGTATATCAATCCCCAGGATTTTGACTCTGAACTTGCGATTGCAGTCCCAGAGGGAGACGGTGAACACCTTCTCATGGTCTTTCTCATTAATAGTCAATTGCTCATGTGTGCCAGCCACACCAGTGCAGTCATCCACCTGTGACCAATCCTCCTTTTGGACCTCATCTTGTTCAGGGTCTGGAGGGGATTCAAGCACCAAATGGATCTCTTCTCCACTTTTCAGGCACTGTCTGATCCAATGGAAGTCTTTGATGGGATAGTTTCCAAAAAGATATTCTTCTCTTCCACAAACCCTCAGAACAAAATCTGATTCACTGACATCCTCAGGTATGCCAAGTAGTGCCCTCTTGTTGGTGGTCTTTATGAAAAAACTCTGAAGAACCTGAAATGGTGTGTCATCGATTGACACCTTTATTGTCTGACTTGAGGTATCTCTGTGTATCACAATTAGAATGTGGTTGTTAGTGATCTTACTCAGCAGGTAATCAGGTAAGGGTTTGGTGGTTATCCAGGGGTCCATTGAGTAAAGTCTGGGGTCTCGGTCAGCCAGTTCAATTTTTCTGGTTGTAAGTAACTTCCTCCTTGTGAACTCCAGCTCATCGTCATGAACATTACTGACGTCTGTGACATCATAACCTATAAGATGATTTAGAAATTTCTGGTACTGGATGGATTCTTCAGAGGGTTGTTGCCTCAGAACCAGATAGATTTTTCCAACCTCCTTTTTAAGAGCTTTCCAGTAGCGAATGCAGTCAAGGGTCTGAAACACCTGGTGCTTATCATAAATCTCACACCAGCTCCCCTTCTTTTGGTAGAGCAGGATGCAGTGGTCTGGTGAGTACTTCTGGTAGAATTCTGGACACACGTTGGTTGTGACTGCCTTCAGCCACAGTTGGGCTTTTACCTGCTCTACTGTCCAGTTCCCAATCACATCCAACTGCAGTGTGTCAGGGTTTTTGGTTGTTTTGTTAGTCGTAGGAAGCACAAACTCCAGTGCTAAATGATCCATTGCTGCAGGTGAGTTTGATGTAAATGCTTTCATTTTTCTTCTCCTCCTCCGGTTTTCACTTCTAAAAACTACTGGTGATTCATCATCACTAACGTGCTGCTCCATAACCAATACTAAAATTGTGTCAGAACAAAACATTCATCAGAGAGACCAGTACTGCACAGCTTTCTGTTACAGTTAAATATAAAGGCTAGAATATCAAGATCACTACGGCATGAAAGGAAGTTGTGAGTTTATGACCTTGCTCAAAGACACAATTTAACACTCCAGATTACAGCTGATTATTGAGTGAGCCACTACTGCACAGTGAAATAACTGTAACTTTTAATGATCCCAAAACGGACAAAAAAAACAGAAGTCTAAAGAGCATGAAAACTCAGACTACATACAAATACAGCCATCTCTGCTGAAAAAAAAACAAAAAAACAGAAACCATCACAGAAATTCTAATGGTTTCCTCTACAAATACCATTACAAACCGTCAGCTAACCTTTAAAACCATTACTGGTCCTTAATGGTATCTACTAGACGTAACATGCCACCCACAGAAGGCAACAAATTACCAGTAGAAACCAATACGATTGCCATTATAACCATTACCAAATTCTGTGAGGGTTAATTTTAACAAAAGCAGGGATCTCGACATTTTTCTATCCATTTTCTGTTCTGCTTATCCTACACAGGGTCACGGGGGAGGGCCTGGGGTGCAAGTCGGGACACCCTGGACAATATGCCAACAAAATCATGCACATACTCACACCACAGACAATTTAGAGATGCCAGTGATGCTAGACAGCCTACAGGGCATGTTTTTGGACGAGGGAGGAAACCAGGGTACCCAGAGGAAACCCCCGGGGGAACATGTAGGGACATGTCAGTACACAATGGGCGGAGGTGGGATTCAAACCCACAGCCCTAGAGGTGCAAGGCGAGCGCGCTAACCACTAAGCCAAAAAGCCCACTACTATAAACTTGTGGTCAACGCAAATGAAGTCGCAAAACAGGAAGCATTAAACTGTAGCAAATAATACTGAAGTTTAGACTGTGAACCAACTGTGAAGATTAAAAATGTTTGTTCAACTGTTTCCATTCAATTAAACAGCACAATGCCCGATATTTTGTTACAGATTTGCTGTCTAATCTGCGTACATCCTATCTGAGGTACACAATACAAATGCGGAAGTTTTTTTTTTTTTTTTTTTTGGTTAACATTTTCACCGAGAACGCTTGAGAAAGACGGAACCACATCATTGCAGACGAAACTGCCTTTAAACTCTGAAACTCTCTGCACTTACTGAAGTAACGGTTTCAGCTCGCGGGTGTGTAAAGGATGTGAAAACTCACCGTTCAGCAAGCACAGGGCCAGCTATACCCCCGCAGGCGGACAGACGGACTGGGAGACATTGATGCGGAGAAGTAGGTTTAATGAGCGCAAGAAACACGGTATCTTTCTGAAGTTTCCACAAGTCCCCTCTGAGCTGTCACACGAGCCGCAGTTTCGGCACAGGGCTCCTCCCCTCAGCAACATGACGTGTTCGGTGACTCGGAATGATGCCGCGTTCAAGTCATGTCGGAAAAATCGTGTTTACGAGTTGAACGCATATGAACGCCACCACAAAGTCGTAATTACGAGTGGGAAACTCGGGGTTTTCTTTGAGCTCTCCGTGTTTCCGAGTTCGAGGTGCTGTGTCAGTAAGAAAACATTGTGGATTCAGTGGATGCAGCGTTTGTAGTTGAGGGTAAATTAGTTGAAATTGAATGGGTATTTAGCAGGGACGTGTCTTTGTCAGGTTTTTGTATTTACAACAAAACAAGCTAATTGCCTGCACAAAATATGATAGCATTGTACGATTACGATATAATGTGCAACGATAAAGTTTACAGTGGCTTCATAAATTGATTAAAAACATAAAAAAGCAAAACACACCTCATGCACATTGTATATTCTTCATTTTCTAAAAGCAGAGTTAAAACAAACCTTGCTGTATTTTTTGTAGTTAGTTATGAGAAAGTACACCGCCATCTTGCTCCGGTCAAAGAGACTTGAACGCACCTGACGTCGTAATTACGACTTCACAACTCGTAAATACGAACTTTCTAGGAGCACTTGAATGTACTGTAATGCCGCCTTCAAGTGCTACGAGAATGCTCCAATTTCCCACTTCTGAAGTGTTCATTAGGAGGATGTTGTGTTCACATGCTTTGTTGTCGGAAAGAACATGAAACATGGACGACGCCAGGTTCATTCATACACATTTCTTTTTTGTTTTATTTTTTTTTGACACCATAACACATATTAGTCAGTTAGTTAGCTTGCCGAAGATAAGGGAATTTGGTCAAATACAAGTTGTTTTTAGGTGTAAAAATGTACAGCAGGCACAGAATGGTTGCTGATATGGTACATAAATGAATATGACCAAAACGGTAAGCGCTAATAATCAGCTGCATTTAGAAAAATGAACAAAACTTGTAATTCAGTACAGAAACTGACCTCTCCTCCGCCATGTTGAAAGTTTAGCACTCCTCCTATCTCGGTAACTCGGGTATCAAAATTATCTCCGAGTTTCCGAGTCGTAATTATGACTTGAGGGGTCATTCAAGTGCAACTTCCTAGTGGGAAACCTATCCTAAAATACTTATCCTATAATACTTGTCCTAAAAATACTTATCCTAGTATTTACGATACTTCCGATAGCACGTGAAGGCAGCATTAATCTGGTCCCATGAAATTAAAGGACTCTGATTATGTTCTTTCAGAGTCAAATTTAATATTCCTCCATTTTGGTTAATACTGGTAATGGCAGTAATCCATATTTACGCAATAAAAAACACTAATAAAATTTAGATGTTCTTTTTTTTATTGCTCTTTTTATTAATACTATTGGACTTGTAATGCTTATTTATGTACCAAAGTACCATTTGAATTTCTGTGGCCCTTTGGCGCCCCCTAGTGGTTCATTGTGTTGAACCGTTTTGCCTTTGCAGCGTCCTCACTTTTGTTAAAAAGAAAAGCAGTTTAATTAGACTAGAGATCTACTGTATAAGATATGTATCTATATAATATCTAATAAGATCTTATTATTAGTAATAATAATAATAATAATAATAATAAATGTTATGCATACTGTATGCTATACTTATGCAGGCCTAGAATGTGATTTTTTTGAACAATCTATTCATATTAGTGTTTAGCACTGCAGAAAACATCTTAGCAAGTGAAAATATCTTGCATACAGTCAAATGTAGCTAATATTTCCTACTATAAGTTTACACTAAACCAAATATAAGTCCTACACAACACCGGCACAGTGAAATGAGAGGCACCTTGCCTTATCTTGTCATGAACCAGAAAAAGAGTTATCAGAGATGTTATCTATAATAAACATATTTTATTTGAGAAATTGGGTTAAGAATCTTATATTTGGTTTATAATAGGAAATACTAGATTAAGTATCACTATATTCAAGATGTTTTCATTTTCTAAGATGTCATTTTATTGTATTGTATTGTATTGTATTTTTAATTACTTGTCTTGTTATGCTGGTGTCTCACACCATGGGTCTGAGGGAAACGAAATTTCAATCCTCTGTGCGTCCTGTACATATAGCAGAATTGACAATAAAGTTTGACTTTGACTTTGATTTCCTGCAGTGAATGTTTAGCCATCACATTTTTAATCTGTGGGTTGTGTTGCCAGGTTAGACATTTGTAAATCATAATGAATGTGTCAAGGTGCATTCAACTAGACTTACTGTACACCATAGGCACATAGGTGGTAATCTTTATTTTATGACATTGAGGCTGTGTCTCTGTTTTAATAATGGTTGTATTATGTAAATAATGTATTTTTTTATTAGGCAGACTTTATGATAATACACAAAATGTGGCCAGTTTATTAGCTTTCTCGACTTTCACTACCGGATGTAAAGGTGCAGTGGCCTATTGACTACACTTTCAAGGCAAAAGCTATTAAAGCAGCCATTGACTGTAGATGTGCTTAATGTATTTGTGGAAACATTAGTTGCTAAGTGATGAACTAGTAAGTAATGAATAAGTCTTTCCTACAGGCTCCATTGTTTAGTTGTGCTAAACTACTAGGGCTAATTAGCCAGTATTCATAACTGGCTACATGTTTCATAGTAAAATCTGGGCTACACTGAATAATTATCTGTCAACTCTTCATAACTGCATGAATGCAAGCTACAAAAAATCGAAACAATATAAAAATTGATTAGTCAGTGTGTCTTTCACTCTGATTTCTGTAGAATTGGGCAGATTTTACATGTTTCCATTGCAAGCGTCTAGTCTGTCCATCACAGGCCAGCCACCAATGGCATTGCACCTGACCCCCATCCTTCATATTGTAGGTGATAAGTTATTCATTTTAAAATTCAGCTAAATGTTACATTAGTAGTATACACTGATTCGATCTACATTTCTTGTTATTTGGGGCACTGTTATTTTCTTTTGAATGAACAAATATATATATATATATATACACACAGTGGATATAAAAAGTCTACACACCCCTGTTAAAATGGCAGGCTTCTGTGATGTAAAAAAATGAGACCAAGATACATAATTTCAGAAATGTTCCCACCTTTAATGTGACCTATAACCTGTACAACTCAATTGAAAAACAAACTGAAATCTTTTAGGTTGGGCGAGTAAAAATAAAAAACCAAAATAATGTGGTTGCATAAGTGTGCACACCCTTAAACTAATACTTAGTTGAAGCACCTTTTGATTTTATTACAGCACTCAGTGTTTTTGGGTATGAGTCTATCCGCATGGCACATCTTGACTTGGCAATATTCGCCCACTCTTCATTGCAAAAACGCTCCGAATCTGTCAGATCGCGAGGGCATCTCCTGTGCACGGCCTTCTTCAGATCACCCCACAGATTTTCAATCGGATTCAGGTCTGGGCTTTAGCTGGGCCATTCCAAAACTTTAATCTTCTTCTGGTGAAGCCATTCTTTTGTTGATTTGGATGTATGCTTTGGGTCGTTGTCGTGCTGAAAGATGAAGTTCTTCTTCATCTTCAGCTTTCTAGCAGAAGCCTGAAGGTTTTGTGCCAATATTGACTGGTGTTTGGAACTGTTCATAATTTCCTCCACCTTGACTAAGGCCCCAGTTCCAGCTGAAGAAAAACAGCCCCAAAGCATGATGCTGCCACCACCATGCTTCACTGTGGGTGTGGTGGTGTTCTGGTGATGTGCAGTGTTCTTTCTGCACCAAACATACCTTTCAGAATTATGGCCAAAAAGTACACCTTGGTGTACTGACTCCTATTTAACATGAGTTTGAATGTGATTGCTTAATTCTGAACACAGCCACATCCCCAGTTATAAGAGGGTGTGCACACTTATGCAACCACATTATTTTGCTTTTTTATTTTTACTCGCCCAACCTAAAAGATTTCAGTTTGTTTTTCAGATGAGTTGTACAGGTTATAGGTCACATTAAAGGTGCAAAAAGTTCTGACATTATTTATCTTGGTCTCATTTTTTTTACATCGCCATATATATATATTTGTTATTTGACAACAACAATAACAGTACACCTTGGCCGTATTCTAGAAATTGTGTTTAACAAATCCTAAACTTAAACTTGAACCCGATTTGTCATATATACAGTTGTCAGTCCCAGAACAGCAGATTTCTGTGATTTTTATTAATCCACTGTGAGCATGTTCATGGTGAATGCAAAAAGCCCTCATCAATTGAGCACTGATAAACTAAGCTAAAGTTTAGTAATTTTGTAGTAATATGTCCCTTGAATTCAACGCTTGTAATAATTTGAGCTATTCATTCATTCATCTACAGTAAAACCTTTATCTTTTTTTCAGGGTCACCCTAGAGAGAGTATGTGATATTACTGTAGCATGTGTAGTCCTACACAACACTGGCCCAGTGAAATGAGAGACACTCTGCCATATCATAGCATAAACCAGAAAA